TCACTCAATCCTCGATCCGCCCTGCCACTGGCTGGTCCGTCTCAAGTACCTGTAGCCGCAGGGGGTCGAGCGCCGCCGGCGTCCGGCGGGGTAGGCTTTGCAGAGGCCTCCGCGTCAGGAAGAGCACGGGGCCTCGGCCCTCCCCTGCCGCCTCCAGGGCCGCCGCGAATAGCAGCGCTGTCTTTCCGGACCCTGGACCGCCGAGCAACAGCAAAGGTGGCCCAACCTCCGCGGCCATATCCTCCCGGGGCCCGGCCGCCCTACCGGGGCTTAGCACCCGCTTCAGCGTCTCCGCCATCCACAAGTGCCTCTCTGTCCAATCGGCGGCCCCTTCCTGCCCTTAATCCCGCCCAGTCCGAGGTCTCTTTGGTTACAGTGCACTTCGCTTCTCCATTGGCCTATGGATTTGTCCTTCAAGGTTAGATCCGCCTTTGCTAGCTCCAGCACTGGTGAAGGGATGATTAACCTAGTTGAGGGAGGAATAGGGGCATTTGAAGTGGGGAAGGCCCTTCCCTTGGTTGAGTCTGCTGAGGAGAGCAGCACGAATACTATTATTGTGAGCCCATCAGCTAAAGAGACAGATGTAAGGTTGAGAGTTGAAGGGAGCAGACCCTACGGAATCGGTGACACACTGGTCTAGTCTCAGTTTGCTCACCTGTGAAATGGAACCCATGGTGTCGCAGAGGAACATTGCTAGGGGCATGTGTCTGTGGTTTTGCTGATGTCACCCGATGACAGTTGAGAAGCAGAGAGATGGAGAGGCTGTGTACTTCTCTTTCTGGGTCTGAGTACTGGCACCAGTGTCTGTCAGGGGCTGCAGACTCAGGGACATTTGTGTGCAAAACCTCAGACGCTGTCTCCGAGGGTCTGCGAGGAGTTCCAACTGCTTCCCCATTGGCCTGGGGGATCCTGGGTCCTGCTAGAGGTAAGGGGGTAGGGGGCAGGCAGCTTTGTTCACTCGGTAACTCCAGCGCCCAGAACAGTGACTAGCTTATTGTAGATTCTCAAAATACAGGATGGGGCAAAAGTAGGCTTACATTTGTGAGTACAGGAGACAGTTTATTCTTGTATTATTTATTAATTATTGTATTATTTCCCATACGGACAACTGTAAACCTACTCTTGCCCCACCCTGTGTGCTCGTTAAATAAATGAATGAAAAAAGGAAGGTAGGATTGATGAGAAACTGGGAGAGAAGGAGGAACAAGGTGAGTGATCAAGTGATCGCAGGCTGGGGCTCCTCACCCAGACTTTGTCCCAGAGCTGCCACTCACAGCCCTGTTGCCATAGCAACTCTGTCTCCTGGTAACTTCAAAGTATTGCCGTTGCCAGGAGACCCAGGGGTAGGGCGGAACTGAGATTTCCTGGGCTTTCTCTCTCCCTCTGGGACCAGAACACAGTTCCACAACATCCCCCAATATACCCACTCACACAGTCGGGTACCCCCACACCCCCCTACACACACACCATGGCATCTCTGCATATGTTCCACTTCCAGAATCCCCATCATCCACATGCTCACAGACCTACCCTATCCTGACACAAAGCATCCTATCCACACTCTCTCCTACCTTCACACCCCCACACCCTTCCCTTGCACACACCAGAACACACTGATACAACCATACCATTGCCACCACACACAGAGACACGTTTCCTGTTAGCTGATGTACCTGCAGCTCTGTCTATACACACACAGAGATGAGGTACACTGTTACACTGCCTTGTCGAAAGCACCACCTCAGCCCCTCCCAACAACAAACCACGATTCACCTCACTTTGCAACACTACAAATGCACAAGCACCCAGTAGTGACAACTGTATCACACAGCTGCATTCATGGAAGCATGCTGAACACAGCCCACCTCAGGTCTTTTGCATTTGCTGTTCCCCTGCCTAGAGCACCTGGCTTCCAGATAGCCCGGTGGCTCATTTTTCTACTCCACTCAGGTCTCTGCTCAGATATCACTCAGGCTTTCCCTGACCAGGGAAAGATTGCACACACTTCATTTTTTTTTCTTTTTAAAATATGTTTTTATTGATTTTTTTAGAGAGAGAAGAAGGGAGAGGGAGAGAGAGATAGAAACATCAGTGATGAGAGAGAATCATTGATTGGCTGCCTCCTGCATGCCCTCTACTGGGGATCAAGCCCGCAACCCAGGCATGTGTCCTGAGCAGGAATCGAACCAGTGACCTCTTGGTTCATGGTTTGCTGCTCTAGCACTGAGCCACACTAGCCAGGCCATGCTTCACTTTTTAGCTGCGTATCTGTCTTTATATATCTTCAAATAACATATAACTTCCAATATTATGTACTTATTTTATTGCCTCTCTCCCCACTAGAAGCTCAGCTCCACCAAGGTAGGGTCTTTCTTTTGTTCACTGCTGGGGATCTAGAAGAGCTACTAGTGAGCACTCAGCACACAGTAGGTGCTCATAAATGTAGGCTGAGTGCATTGGCAGAGATGCAGACGTTTGGCATACCTCTCATGCACACAGTACTTCTTTCTCTCACTGCTTAGAATCCCATCTTCCTGTTCTGACAGAAGAACAATTAACATAGAGGAGCTACCTGGAGGACTGATGGGTGAGGGGATGAGGACGTGGACAGTCTGTGTTTCTCCCTCACTTATCAACATCCTCAAGTTAATTTATGTAACAACTATTTATTGAGCACCTGCTGTGTGCCGGACCCTGTTTTGGGCACTGGGAACTCAGTAGTGAACAGTTGACAAAATCTTTGTCTGAGCTGACATCCCTTGTGAGGGAGGCTGAGGAATTTAAATAGTCTACGAGCAGATGTTAAATTCATGCAAAAAAAAGTTTGCACAGGGAAGGAAAGTTTGGAGGACCGATTATTTGGCTGTTTTTGCAGTTCTGAATAGAGTGGTAGGGGAAGATCTCAATGAGAAGTTGACAGTAGAGAAAAGGCTTGAAGGAGGTAATGGGGTGAATCATGCAAATATGGGGGGGGGGGAGAGAACATTCCAGGTGGAGGCACCTGCACCCTCAAAGGCTCTGAGGCATCGGAAGAACTTTGGCTTTCACATCGAGTGCCATGGGGACCCACAAGAGGGTTTGAGCAGGGGAGGGATATGATCTCATTTACATTCTAAACCACAGCTCTGCTTTTGTTGAGCTGAGTTTGAGATGCTGTGAGACCCACGGGAGCACGTCGAGAAAGCTCTTGAATTAAGCGGGTACATCTCAGTATGGGTTCTTTACCTAAGATTATCCATCATGGGATGGGGATGTGGGCAAGGCTCAGGCTACTGCCATCACCCTCTCTAGCCGGCCCAGACACTTCTCTGTATCCTGCAGCCCCATTTTAACCTTTCTTGTGTTGTGCTCAACATCAGAACCGTGGACAGCACCAACTGGGTTGGTAGGGGTGCTGTCCGCCGTGCTGAAAACTTGCTTCCTTCCTGTCCTGCGTGAAGGCAGCTGTGCAACAACAGGTGTGAGCCCTGGAAACAGGAGCTCTGGTCGGGGAAGCAGGGGTGTCCATGGTTCTGTACCTCCTCTGATTTCGGCCCTTTCATGCTCCCATCTCATTCCCTGTGGTCCACAACAGGCCCACCACCTCCCCCTCACTTATTCCACTCCAGCCACACAGGTCTCCACATTGTTCCCTGAATGTAATAGGCACCCTCCAACCTCAGGGCCTCTGTGCTTGCTCTTCCCTCCGCCTGGAATGCTTCTCCCACCAGCCCTGGTATGTTAATGGACCCCTCGCCCTTCTCCTTCACACCTCGTCTCCAGTATCATCTCCTCAGAAAGAAGTTTCCTGACCACCCACTTTAAATTGCAAACGGTGTCTCCATCCCACAGTTGTCCTATTGTCTTCTCTAGTTTGAGTTTTCTCCTGATCACTTGTTAATATCTAACATATCAGAGGTCTCACTCCCTGACCTAAGTCTGTGGTCCTAGAGTTTGGAATTCAGAATTTTTCAGATTTTTAAAAAATAACTCTGGTGTAAATACTATGTGTTGCATAACACCCCTGGTGGAGTCTGGGATAACATCTCAAAATCAAACACTTTATCATCAATGAAACATAAGAATATTCACATGAAGTTAAATAAATGAAAGCTATAGTAACCTCATGTCAGTTCAGGTCAGGTTTTTGCCACACATGAATTAAGAAAAAAAATTTTTTTTGGTTTTCAGATATTTTTGAAATTTGCAATTGTAGTTCTGTATATAGCTTATACATCTTGTTTATTGTCTCTTAAGTATGAGAATGTGAGCTCCATGAGGGCAGAAATTCGTGTCTGTTCTGTTAACTGACAGCTCCTGTGTCTAATCACACAGCACTTGGCATGCAGTAGGTGCTCCCTAGTGTTTGATGAATGAATGAATGAATGAAAGGATGAGTTAGGGGAAAGCAGCTTCCCTTTTCCTAGTCCCTGGATGACTCCATGCCCTGAATGGCCTGTCTGAAGCCCTGCAGAGCCGGTGTGTGTGTGTGTGTGTGTGTGTGTGTGTGTGTGTGTGTGTTTCCCTGCCCCTCCTACACTTCCTGGTCTCCATGGGGTCTTCAGCACAACCTCACAATCAGAACTCCTGCTTTCATCCGTGCATCCAGGGGTTTGGCTTTGAGGTTCCTACTGTCCTCAGCATCCCCTTTCACTATCAGGACCCCGAGTCCACTCACCCTATTTCCTGTGCCTTCTACACCCTGGCCATGGTAAAAACAAAACAAAAACAGGCCAGCTGCCCGGGGAAGACAGGCATGTGAGGCCCCTCACTGTAGGTTTGTGGGTCTGCATTTCACACGAAGACACAGGGCACAGAGAGGTTAATTAACTTTCCTGAGGCCAAGAAGCACTGAGCCAAGATTTAAACCCAAGTTGCTGGCCCACAGCCCCACACTGTCTTTCCACAATTGCCCTCAGATACACTAACAATACACCCACACCCAGCCTCACTGACACCTAGACCCACAATAAAAGTCCTCCACACTCCAATACTCAGGGAAGGAAGGCATGTGGCCAAACTTCTGTTACAAACAGGTCTTTATTAAAGATGAGGAAGGGGCAGGAAAGGGAGTCAGTGTCTCCTCTGCCCACTGCCTTTGGCTGCCCTCCTGGATGGGGAGCCCTTTCTGCTCCACCCATGCCCCCATGATGGCACATCCTCATGAGGCTGAGGCATGGGGGCAGTGTGAAAAACAGGGGTGGGTTCCAAGGAAAAAAAAGGCCCTTTCCCACAGCCCTAATAAATAACAAAAGGGTTTGGGGTGACCTGGGCACAGGCAAAGGGAGACAGCACCCTGAACCACAAAACTTTTGAACTGGACAAGCCCTGCATATGTAGGGAGTTAGGAGGGTCTGGGTGGGAGGGTGCACATGGTGGAGGGTCTGAAAGGGGAAGGGGTGAATCAAGGACCCTGCCATGGGGGAACCTGCCCCCACCCTCGGGTTGGATTCTGATCCTGAGGAGAGAAAACCCAGTTACAAAGGATGGTCCCATCTCCCTCCTCAATGTTGCACATACTTAGACATGGGCGGTCCCCCATTGGCTGGAATCATACCCACCCTAGAAATTCTGGAAAACAAGGGCTCCTATTGGTTGTTCATTTGCTGAACACTGGCTGGAGTTGCCCTCTTGCCTGAGGATTCTAAGTGAGGAGGAGGCTCCCATTGGCTGGAGTAAACTCCTTTTGGTTACAATTCAAATAACTGGAGGCTCCCATTGGCTGGCAATAGCCAATGGGGTCAGGATTTGGCCCTCAAAAGGGCAATCCTAGGGGGCAAGGGCCCACCTCTCAGTTATGCCCACTTGGATGTCCCAGAGGGCAAGAGAGGCAGGGGGCCCCCAAATGTCCTTCCAGCCATCCTCTGATGTCTGGACCTGGCTGGTTTGGGGACAGGGGGCTTTGGCACTCACACGGCACACGCACGCACACGTGTGGCAGGGAAGAAATGAGGACTGGCAGATTCTGGGTGAGTGATTGGGCCTCACAGCAGGTGGTCACGGCTAGCAAACAGGTAAGGGCTGAAGTTGTCCCGATGGAAGGGGGAGGGATAGAGTCCACTAAGGGTGTACAGGTCCCGCAGCAGGGGTGTGGGCAACAACAGCTTCCGGCCACGTCCACCACCCCCTCCTGGCCCCCCAGGCCCAGGAGAGGAGGGTGAGGGGCCCTGGCTGGGGGTTGGTGCTGGCAAAGGCAGGGGCAGAGGCAGGGGCGTTGGCTCAGATCTCAATCGAGGGCGGGGCACACGGGGTGATGAACACATGGCTGGAGCCCTGGAGGACGCGCAGCTTGGGATCAGGTGGCCACGGCGGGCGCAGTTCTGCGGCTCTGGGGGTCAGAGGTCATGGAGTTAGAAAGCTTGGGAGGAGGTAAGACCTCTGTGGCAGTCACCACCATCTGGAAGTCCCCTCGTTTATCCCCCCGTCCCCCGGACACTCACTGGATGGGGTGAGCCGTGCCGGTGTCGAATGCGGCCTGCAGGCCTCGGGTTCCTGAGACAAAGAGGCAGAGGGATGGGCTAGCGGTCCCCTGAGCCCCGCGGGCCACAGCATGAGGGCCTCATTGGGCAGAGAGCCCAATGGAAAAGACAACCAGGTTATCAGGATTAACCATGTCCCCTTGGCAGGGAGAGAGGGTCTCACCCTTCTATTCTGTGGGACTGTCCCCCCAGGGCTTATGTTCCCAGAGATGAGTCCCCCCCCCCCCCACATCCCCATGGCCCTGAGGACCCCCCCTCCCCGATCTGCTGCCTGACTCCCTGCACCCTTGGTCCCCCTTCCACCCACCACCCTCTCCAGCCGGGAGCAGTCCCCGGCCCCCCTTACCTGGGCCACACTTAACTTTTCGAGGGGGCTGTCCATGGTGGGGGCTTGGCCCAGGCTCTCCCAGGGGGAGAGCCTTCGGCCGGAGGGTGGCCGGCTCTGGAAGTTGTGCACGACACAGGTGACCTGGGACAGAGGCATAATGAGGCTAATAAGATAAAAGTGGTGTAAATGCCATCCTTGTTTTTCAGATAAGGAAACAGGGTTTTCAAAGACAGCTAACATTCTTATGGTGCTTACTATGTTCTTTGCCACCTTACTAAGAGGCTGCTACTATTATAATTAACTCTACAGGGCTGGGACTAGGAGGCAAGTAAGACTCCGTTTCGTAAAGTTTAAATTTCTGATGGTTTTTTGCACTAATTTTTTTTATTTTTTAAAAAATATATTTTATTGATTTTTTTACAGAGAAGAAGAGAGAGGGATAGAGAGTCAGAAACATCAATGAGAGAGAAACATCGATCAGCTGCCTCCTGCACACCCCCTACTGGGGATGTGCCCGCAACCAAGGTAAATGCCCTTGACCAGAATCGAACCTGGGACCCTTGAGTCCGCAGGCCGACGCTCTAGCCACTGAGCCAAACCGGTTAGGGCTAATTTATTTTTATTTTTAAAATATTTCATTAAAATATGATTTATCTGAATTACTGAGTGTTTTAACACCCTTCAAATTTTGCACTCAAAACAAGTACCTCACTCACATCATCCTGATCCAGGTCCTGTCATCCCATTTCACAGATGAACATCCGGGCAAGGTGAGGTTAAAGTCCATCCCCTTCACAATCATGCAGCCCTCCCTTTTGGGTCAAGGAGCCGATGGAGGGGCTCCCATAGCAGAATGGGTGCCAAGGGGGCTCACCAGAAAGGTGGCGATGGCCGCTCCGGTCAGGAAGCCGGCCAGCACGTCTGACCAGTGGTTGCGGTACTCCGCCACGCGGACCACACCCACCAGGAAGGCGGGGCACAGCAGGGCCAGGCAGAGCGAGGGTTTGACCAGGCGGGAGCCCTTTACGCGGAACACCAGTGTGACGTACATCTGCGGGAAGGAAACCCGACAGGTCAGGGGACACAGGTAATGCGGTTGTCCAACCCAAGTGGCCGCTGCGTTTGGGGCTGGGGGCACGGCCAGAATCCCATCGGGGCTGGAGGAGGTGGTCAGGGGCTCCAGGGAAGAGCCAGAAGACCGGAGTGCAGGGGGTGGAGGCGTGCACCCCCAGTGGGCCCTGCTGGGGTGGGGCGTGGCCAGATCACCAAAGAGCATTGGCGCTCTCAGGGGCAGGGTCTCCCCAGGACCAGTCACAGGTGGAGACAGGCCCTTGCGGGGCGAGGGCGTGGCTACAGAACCAGGGGGCGGAATCAGGACCTCAGGGGCAGGTCCAGGAGCTCCAGGAGGTGGAATCCCCAAAGGCCAGAGGATCGCTGACCGGAGTAGAAGCTGAGACCCAAACTCCAGGAAAAGGAGTCAAAGCAACATGGGGTGTGGCCAGGGAAAAGCCAGGGAGCGTCAGGAAGTCCTAGCAGAGACCAAGGCAATAAAGGGGGAGGGACCGAGGGCTCCAGGGGGTGAAGGCCCGGTCTCCCATGCAATATCCAGGACCTGCAGCACCCTGGGGACATGGCTGGGCTCCAGGCACAGTGTCCTGCTCCCTCGGGGCGGAGCCAACAGCTTCCAGTGGGTGTGGCGTTACCGGGTCAGGAGGCAGGGCCAGGCACCAAAAGGCAGCCAGTCAACAACAGCAGATTCGGGGCAAGACGAGGGCCCAAGGGGAGGAGTCAGAGCTTCCACCGGGGTAGACCCTTCCTTATGGGCGGAGTCACAGGGCCAGGGGGTGGCTTCTCCTGGGTGAGAATCAGAGGCTCCAGCCCAGGCGGCCTGCCCGCTGGGCGCCCCCCGCCCTCCACTGCCGAGCTCCCATTTCGGGGCTCACCGCTGTGTAGGTGACGGCATAGGCGCAAAGGGCGGCATCCTTGCAGGGGAACGCGCGGCGTGCAGCGGCCACCAGGTTGGGGCTGCCAGCGCAGGCACCCAGGTCGGTGACAAAGCGGTCGGGCCCTGGCCGGTCCGGCGAGGGCGGCTGGCAGCCCAGGGCCGTGTAGTTGGGGCGGCACACGGACAGGAAGTGCGGCGTGGGGTTGCCAGTCACCACCTGCCCCGCGTTGGCGAAGATGGTCGTGGTGAAGAGGCCAAAGGAGTAGACCCCTGGGGATGGGGTGGGAAAGGGTTCAATGTTAGGGCCCTGATGCCGCACTGGCTCCCCTGTGAGCCTCCTTGGGACTCATCTGGGCCCCTATCTCCTTGTTCCTGTGACCACCATTTAATCCCCTTAATGCCATACCCCGTTATAGCCGGCCACCACGATGGCACTCTGGGCCTCCTGCCTCTGTCCCTCTGGGACTATCGCTATGGCAGCAGGGGGCCCTCCCCTGGGACCCCATTAGACCTGGGTTTCCTCAACAGCATTACATCAGCAGTGGACCTATGCCTGGGACCCCCTGGAAGCCTCCTGATGGCATTTCTGGGCCTCTTTCTATCTGCCCTGGACTCGCTGTGACCGAGTTGCTCACTTTTCTTCTGGGTCACCAATGAGCCAGAGCCAACCGCCGGCCCTCTGCCAGGGGGACCACTGTCATGGATGAGCTATGCCGCCTCCCGTCCCCACAACCACCCACTGTGGCTGGGACTACATTTACAGCACAGCTGAGGTCTCATCTCCCTGGGGCCCCATGGTGTCCCCCTTTTCTGACTGAGAATCTCCCTGTGGCAATTTGGGGCCCCCTCTTACAGTTGCTGCAATTGGCTTAGGCCCCATCCATGTCCCTAAAACCTCCATCATGTCTGGCCTGGATCCAAGTCCCTTTTGCCTCTGACCATCATGACAGTTCTAGGCCCCTTTCCCGCTGGAATCCTGATGATGGCTGAGCCTGGCCCATATCCCTTTGCCCGGTTGAATCCTGGCCCTGTCACTCACCCAGGAAGCGGACCAGCCTCCTCAGTGGGGGGCTGAAGCGGCAGCAGGCCCCAGACACGATGGTGCTCTCCCCGATGATGGGGATGGCTGAGGGTGGTGCGGGGAAAAAGGCACGAGCCAGCTCCCCCAGCAAGATCTGTGGGTGAGACCAAAACAGGGTCTTCCTGGCCTTCAAGCCCAGCCCTAGCCACCTCCCCCTGACCCTCCTGCCTCCTGGGAGGGCCTCCCACAGTCTACCAAGGCTACCCCCCCAGTCTCACCGTGAGGGTGGGCCCAGCGGTGACCAGAGCATAGATAAGTGCAGGAGGTGCCCGGCTGGCAGCCTCAGGCCCTGGGTAGGGCTTGGCATAAGTACTGTCATAGCAGAAGAAGCCCTGGGTGTGCACAGGGAAGGTGTCCGTGAACTCCAGGCGGTACGCAAGCAGGACCACCACGCCCAGCAGCACAGACTGCCACCCAGCCAGAGCGGAGAGAGAGATGGAGAGAGAGAGAGAGAAAAAGAGAGAAGGTCAGGCCTGAACTGGGGACATGGAGAGAGAGACACACACACACACACGGAGAGAGACAGAGAGAGAAAAGGGGGAGAGAGACAGAGAGTGACCAAGACGGAGGGAGATGAAAAGAGTGAAAGAGAGAGAGGTGGGGAATGGGGCCAGAGAAGTGTCAGGGTTTGGGAGACAGAGAAAAGAGATGGAGATGGAAACAGAAAGAAAGAGAGAGAAGACAGAAATGGACGGGAGAGGAGAGAGGAGGGAAGAGAAGGAGAAAGAGAAAAAGGCAAAGAAGAAAAAGAGAAGGGACTAGAACAGTAGACTAGAGAGAGAAGAAAAGAGGGAATGTGATTTGGGAGAGAGAGTGAGGACACGGCTAAAATCTGACCAGAGAGATAGAGAGACTGGGCGGGCGAGTGACAGACAGATCACCAGGGAAGAATTAATACTACGGGTAGGACTAGCAGCTACCACAGGTATAACTCTTCCTGTGGGCAGGGGGTCATACTAGCCCTCTTCTGTCAGTGAATACATTTTACCTTCTAAATATGCCCATTTGACAGAAGAGGAAATTGAGGTTCTGGAGCATATGTGAGATGCCCAGAGTCCAAAAGTAAGGATGTGAAGAGTGCGATTGGAACCCTGGAAGCGCTACTTCTGAGTCCAAGCCCATAAACACTTCTCAAGAGAAAGGGAATAGTATTCTCAGCACCCCCCCGCCCCCCGAGACAGGGAGGAGGAGATGGGGAGAGAGAAGGCAGGCCTGGAACCAGGTAGATGGAAAATCAGGGCCGGGTAGGGACCTGGCCAGGATGAGGGACACGGAGAGTGGACAGAAAGACAGGTACACCCCCTCCCCACGGAGGGAAGGAAGGAGGTACTGGACGCCTCACCTCCACGAAGACAAAGCAGGGAATGATGGAGAAACTCCTCTTGAGCTGAGGTCTCCCTCCCGCCATGGTGAAGGCCTGGGCCTGTGGAGGTGGGAGGAAATGGGGTGGCCAGGGTGGGGCCTAGGGGGATGCTCAGGGCACAGGCCCTGGAGTCCCCTGGCCATGCCTCTGCATATCCAGGGCTCAGCCCTGCTCCTGCCCATTGGAGACACTAGCCTCCTCTGACAGCCTGCTCAGCTCAGCCTGTTGGCGGGGGAACCCCAGAGATCCTCTAGTGGTCTTCACTCCCTATAACCTCCATAGGAGATTCTGACCCCATACCTTTTAGGAGGGACTCTCCTCCTTACTAAGCAGGACCTCCCCCCACCCCCCGGCCTTTAGAAGAGAATTCTCCAACTTAACAGGGATACCTCCACGACGGAGAAGGATCCATTTAGAAGGGTTCTCACACCCACCAGTTTTAGGAAACCCCATCCTCTTTCCCCACATGCTTTACAGGGGACCCCATGCTCCATGTCCCCCACCCCTGCCAGTCCCTGCTCCTGAGTCCCTTCTACCATGTCCCTGTGGTTCATGGCTGATGGCCAGGCCCTACTTCTCTCCCAGTTGCCTCTCCCTCTCTACTTTCTTCCAGCCCATCACCTCCCTGTATCATTAGGGCGCTATCTCCCACCACATGCTCCCACTACCCCGAGCAGTGAAGCACTAACAGGGTCACACCTGCTTGACCCATTCTCCCAGGCGGGCCTCACCTGTGAAAGAGCCCTATGACTTCCCACAGGTGGCTGCCACGCCCGTGGACTCACAGCCGTTCCTGGCAGCCAGCAGGGCAGTGATGGTCACCCCCATTGCACAGATGTGGAAACTGAGGGTCAGGCAGGTGAGGGTAGGCACTCTGGGTCCAGTGCTCCATCCACAAGGCTTGCTCTTCAGTGTAACATGTGGGATGAAGGTTGCTAGAGGTCCCAGATGTCTATCTGGCCACAGCCCCCTCACCCTCCCATAGACATAATCAACCACACTGGCACCCCCAGAGTACACAACTCAGCCACAGCCTCCATCCCACCCCCCGCCCCCGACACACCATGGCCCAGCATTCGCCCATCTCACCAACATGGACCAAGTGCCTGCTGCATTCCAGGCACTGTACTGAGTGCCAGCCTTGTGGTGAACAAGACAGGCCTACTCATTCAGACAGGTGCCCAACACCCACCACAACCCACCACACACATAACTGCATACTCATGCACACACACCACACACGCACACGGCACAATGTGCACACAGCCTGTCACGGACACCCACACAGATCAAACAATTCCCCCCCAACACAGTCACAGGGACACAACAGGAGGTTCTCCACACACCGCACAGCCCCTCACAGCCCCACATGAGCACTCGCCCTCAGGAATGTGGGCTCAGGGTTGCCAACACACTTAAGAGCAACATCAAAAAGAGGGTCACCATACACAATGGGGGTCACTGAACTGGTCACAGTGTCACACCCCCAGTTACATGGAATTCAATGACAACCACACACATGAACACTTCTCATCCACATTGACTGTCATGGGAGATACGGTGCTATCCACAGCCACAGCCACATGGCCACAACAGGGCACATACATGGACCATGACAGACTCACACAGAGCCACCGCCACACAAGAAAGATGCACGATCACAGCCACACATTAGAATGCAAAAATGCCCCCCACACCATTAAAAGGAACACACAACAGCAGCCACACAATGACAGTCACATACACACAACCACACGGACTCACAATCACAGTGACAGCCATCACAACAAAGCCACACACACCATCAGTGATAGCCACGATGACAGCACACAATGACAGCCACAGGAGACAGTCACACACACACCACACACACTTCAAAAGCCACACAATCACAGCTATACAGACACAAAATGACAGTTACACAACCACACACTGACAATCATTACAGCCATACAATCCCAGTCACCCTCACCACCACCTCTTGGCTTCTCAAGCCCAGGTCCCCTCCCATGCCCCCTCCCCAGCCCGGTCCCCAAGCTCCTCGCTTCCCCTCCCCCTTCCCACGCTGGACCCGCAGGGGACCGGACCCACAGATCCGAACCCGGACCAGACAGAGACCGAGGGTCGAAGCCCGCGAGAAGGGCTACAAGGGACACTTCAGGCCCCTCCCCCTCACCGGGTAGAGGCTCTGCCACCTGAGCTCGGGGTCCGCTTAGACGTCACCAGCGCGGCCGGACCGACTGATTGCTGGCCTGGCAGGCGGGCGGGTGGACGCACAAATGGAGATGCTGTCGGCCCCGGCTCTGCGCCGCGCAGACTCCGCGAAGGAGCGAGGGGCGTGGCCTCGGGCGCCTTATTTGCATAACACAGTGGGCGGGGTATCGAGACGTCTTATTAGCATGATCTGGGGCGGAGCCTCGGTTGTTCTTTGGGGCGGGGCGTGTTAGAGCAGATTGAGGGGGAATGAAGGATGGAGGTTAAGAGGGAGGACTCTGGCCCTGGCCGGTTTGGCTCAGTGGATAGAGCATCTGCCTGCGGACTGAAGGGTCTCAGGTTTGATTCAAGTCAAGGGCACATGCCCGGGTTGCGGGCTCGGTCCCCAGTGAGGGCATGCAGGAGGCAGCCAATCACTGATTCTCTCTCCCTCTCCCTTCTTCTCTGAAATCAATAAAAAAATTTTTTTAAAAGAACAAGTACCGCCCTAGCTGGCTTGGCTCAATGGATAGAGCATCAGCCTTCGGACTGAAGGGTCCCAGGTTCGATTCTGGCCAAGGGTACATGCCTGGTTGCAGGCTCGATGCCCAGTTGGGGGCGTGCAGGAGGCAGCCGATCAATGATTCTCTCTCATTGATGTTTCTCTCTTCTTCTCCCTTCCTCTCTAAAATCAATAAAGAAATATATTTTTTAAAAAAAGAAAAAGAACAAGTACCTTAATTGTAGTGTACAGTAAACAAATTAAAAAAAAAAAGAGGGAGGACTTTGGGTGAGGGTAGGCGCTGAGGGGAAGAGGAGGGCGGAGTGTCAGAGCATGACCTGGGCCACCACGCTCCCTCTCTGGGCCTCGGTTTCCCCATTTGGGCAGTAGGGCCAGATCGCCAAAGCCCCCCGGAAAGGAAGGCTGGTGGCTAGTGTGAAACCGCCTGCCTAGCCACTCATATCTGGACAGAGCAACCCAGGACTTGTCATATACTAATCTGGCCTCGCACTGTACTCTGACCCTAAGTTCATACATCCCCAACAGCCCCTGGGATCTCCATGCCCGCCCCAACACTGGCGAGTAAATGGGGGTGGCTCATTCAAACGGAAGCAGCAGGAGCAACAGTCCACAGGTGGAGGAGGGTCTCGGCTAGTTTATTTTCTCTCTGGAGGGGTCTTCGTGGAGAGCAACCCGGCTGCTCAAGCTGTGGGGAGACAGGATGGGTAAGGGCCAGGTCTGGTCCAGGGGACCCAGGGGTGGCAGTCAGGGTGCAGGAGCCCAGGTTGGGAGCTGGGAGGGTCCATACTGTGGGATTCCAGGGCTGGTCAGGAGGGGCAAGGTGGGTGGAGCAGGGGAGGAGCCACACCTGATGGGAAGGAGCGGCTCTTGTTGAAGGGTGGCTGGGAAGGGTCCTGGTCCGAGTCCGAGTCCGAGTCCCAAGAGTGAAGGGGAGGACTCAGGCATCTGTGCCCCTTGTAGCCTGCAGGGACAGGTGCCATTCTGGCTCTCCATGCATGAACCCTGAATGTGACCCTTGAACCAGGGTCCCTTGATCATGTCCCTTGAATGTGACCCAATGTGACACTTAAATTTTACACCAATGATCCTTAAAAAACATCCAGGTGACCCTGAGTGACCCCTAGGTGAAACCTCCAGGGACTCCTTAATGTGACCCCCGATTAAAATCCAACAGATGTGGCCCGGCTGGTGTGGCTCAGTGGTTGAGCGTCAACCTATGAACCAGGAGGGTGGCAGTTCCTCCTGGATTGCTGGCTCAATCCCCAGTAGGGGGCATGAGGGAAGCAGCCAATCAATGATTCTCTCTCATCACTGATGTTTCTATCTCTCTCTCCCTTTCCCTTCTTCTCTGAAATCAATGAAAAAAAATATTATTAAAAAAAATGAAACCCGCCCAGCTGACATGGCTCAGTGGTTGAGCTTCGGGCTTGATCCCTAGTGGGGGGCATGCAGGAGGCAGCAGATCAATGATTCGTTCTCATCATCGATGTTTCTATCTCTCTCTTCCTCTCCTTTCCTCTCTGAAAGCAATAAAAATATATATTTAAAAGAATGAAACCCAACAGATGTGACCTCCAAATATGGCCTCTGAACATGACCCCCATGTGTGGAGGTGGAGAATGAGCCCACCCACCCTGGAGCATGGCTCAGTCCCTCTCACCCCGGAGGCTCCCAGTCTTGGGGCGGATTCCCGAGGACATGGTGAAGCCATCAAAGGAGTTCTGCAGCGTATGCACGGCGGACCTGCAGGAAGATGGGGAGCTGGGGCCCCCAGGTGACTCTGGACTGCCTGAGGCTGGGGCACGGGGGTGTTAGGGGGGCAGAGGAGGAAGGGAGTCCTGCTTGGAGATGGAGGTCTGGACTCAGATGGCTTCTAGGTTCTGGTGGTCACTGTTTGATCAGATTGGGGGCAGGGCAGGGCAGATGAGGGTCGGGGTCAGAGGTCAGAGTGGGGGCTGGGCATCACCATATGTCACTCAGCTCCTTCTGGAGGTCACTCCTCCAAGAGCCATTGCCTCCTGATGGCATCTCCTCTGTCTCCAGCCAGTTGGTTGTCTCACACCCCTGTTGTTTCATCTTGGTCAAAACCTGGGGCTCCGACAGGGGTTGGGGGGAAGAGAGAAGAGCAGTAGTAATAAAATGACGGTGCAAGGTGACCATTACATGCAGCTACCCCTTCAGGTAGGGATGTGTGTGTTTTATCCATTACACAGAAGAGGAAAATGAGGCCCAGAGAGGTGAAGAAACTTGCCCACAGTCACACAGCCGTAAGTAGCAGAGCTGAGATTTATGTCCAGGCCTTCTGGCTCCAGTCCAATGGTGGAGGCCGGCAGAGATCCCCATGTCCCCAACCCATGTGGGGTCCCTGTCCTCCCCTCTCACCTTACGGCACTTCGCCTGGGTCTTCTGCACCTTCTGGATGTTCACCAGGTTCTCAGTGATCTCTTCCTCCTGTGCCTCTGTGAGGGGAGGGGGCTCAGGGAGGCCAGGCAGCAGAAGGACACCCCCACCCTTCCCCCCACCCCCGTGGGCTCCAGGCACTCACGGAGCTTCTGATAGATGAAGGTCACCTCCTCCCGAACCAGCTCCAGCTCCTCCCACAGGAATTTCTTGCTGAGGGGATAGTGCAGCCTAGGCCCACAGCCCGTGCCCAGTCCCTGGCCTCCTGGTCTCACAATTTGCCCACCTGCCTCTCCAAACCTCCTCCACCTCCCATGTTCCCATCTGTTCAACCACCCATTTCCCCCAGGCTCCACCCCTCCCCAAGTTGCCCACCCACCTTTACCCTCCAACTACCATTCCCCCACCTCTCCTCCCCCAGCCCCAGTCCTCTCCTCCTGACCCCCAGCCTCCCATTCCCTCAGCTTCCTATTGCCTGGCCTCCATCTCTCTACCTTCCTCACCCCTGACCTCCCATATTCCTAGCCTCAGCCCCCATCAACCTCTCCACCCCCCAGTTCCCTGATCCTCTGACCTCCTTCCCAACCTACCTCCAGCTTCCTGTCTTCCCTGCCTTCTGGCCTCCCAGTCTCCCCACACACAAACACTGCAACCTGTCTTCGCCCCTATCATCCGCTCCTCTTGTCCTCTAAGCCTCCCATGGCCCCCATCATCCTTACTCAGGCCTCCCCTATTTTCTCCATCTTGGGCTTCCTTCCCTCCCACAGCCTCCAGGCCTCCCCCCTTGGCACACTCACCTGTCTCGGATCTCCTGGGCCAGCAGCTGCAGGTAGCGGGTAGTGCGGGTTTTCTGCACCTCCTCACTCTCCCGCACAGTCTTCTGTAGCCCCTTCAGGCCTTGCGCCAGGGCCCCATACAGCTCCCGCTGTCCCTGATCCATGTTCCATTTTTTCCCCTCTGTCTGCTGGCTCGTGGGGTTCAGGACTTCTTCAGAAACAGTGGGAGCTTGATTGAGGCCCAATCACACCAAGCGCAGCTTTGAACCCACTTGCCCTAGCCTGGCTGGATCCCAAGCCCGAATCCAGACTCACCCACTGCTCTCACTCTGACCCAGCTGACCCTGACAGCCTCTGACCTGACCTTGACCTCAGGCCAGTCCTCACCTTCAAGCTGTTGGATCTTGATTTGCTGCAGGCAGCTCTCTTTCTCCAACATGGTCACTGAGTGATTTAGGAACTCAAAAGCCTGTGGGGGAAGAGGTCATGCCTGGAGGCAGGATGGGGAGGAGAAAGGGACAGAGGTTGCTGGGCCCAGGGCTGGCTGAGGAGGCTAACCTTAGTCTGGGCCTGTAGCTGGTTCTTGAGTGACTCCAGTTCGCATCGCAGGAGCTTCTGGGTGTCAGGAATCATCATGGTGGACTTACCTATGAGCAGAAGTGTGGGTCAGCCAAGCTGGGAAGGGTGGGGGCAGGAGCAGGGATCACAGAGCCTGAGGTAGAGGCTGGAGTAGGGGTCAAGATCAGGGACTGGGATAGAGGGCAAGGTCAGGGGCAAGAGGCAGCTGATGCTGGGGCAGGGTTGAGCAGGCAGCAATGGCAGGGTTCCACAGAGGCTGGGGCAGAGGGTGGAAGAAGGAACCAGCAGGTCTTGCACACACAGTCTTTTTAGGAGGGAGGGTTCTCACCTTTGATTTTGGAAGAGCTGGTCTCCAATGGTTTCTAGGAGAGGGGAATATGAGGGCAATAGAAATTCATCCCTGGGCGGCCTCCTTGCTCCCCCCAACCCAGTGTTTGGACATGAGTTGAATCTGCTGAGTTCTGGGTGTCCCAGACCCTGAGTGCAGGTATATCCGCACCTGCTCAGAAGTGCACTTCTGTGGCTTGTACCCTACATGGGTGGGCCTCTGGGCTGCCCCTGACAGCACGCACCTGCAAAGTCCTATCTCTGGACTGGGCTCAGAAAATGGCCCTCCTCTTCAGGGGCAAACGACATTGACAATGTCTGCAGGCAGCACCAATAGCACAGACACATAGCCATGCGTAATCCCAGAACAACCACAGCTACATAAACTCAAACACAGTCACGCACTCCAAGTCATAAGACCCAGGGCATCCATGCACACTCATCTCAGATACATAACCAGACACAGACACACCGGCAGTCACACCCAGAGACAATTACAGAAAAGACTCCACTAAGACACACAATCCCACATCCATTCCATTCATTCCCTCGTCCATTAAGACATATTCATTGCAGGCCTGCTGAGCACTGGGAGGTGTTCTGGGTGCTGAGGACCTCCCTGTCCCCCCCCACCAAGCCCTGCAGCAATAGATTGTGGGGCAACAGGAAGGGGGTTCCAGGGTGTGGGTAACCTTAGTGACACTCGGATGCTTCTTCACAAGTTCCTGGTCATTACAG